TTCGTTTTTCGAACCTCTAATGTATATTGAGATCTAGGGATTTATACACACAAGAAATCTGAAAGTGTTATTTTTTTCTATTCAAATTGTAGATGTTATTCAATTTTAATATATCAATAACATGGAAATTTCAAATATATTAACAATAATCGAAAACTATGAATTTGATCGGAACATGGATGGAGGATTATATATCAAAGAGCTTTTCTAATGGATTATTTACGTGAAACCATGAAAAGGGTATCCAATTTTCTTTTACATTTAAATTCCTACTATGGTTTTACAATTTATATTTACAGAATTTGTCATAATTAATTTCTTTTATAGAAAAAAGTCATTTTAGAGGTAACTTATCATCCACTAATAGTAAATGATAAATGATAAAAAAGGGTACTTAACTTATATTTTACTTTAATTTGTTCTCGCTTTTGCCTCTCAAACACATCAACTGCAGACCAAATGAAAATGACCTTCCTAACATCAGAACATACGATATAGTGTTGTAAATTGACCTAACCATTTTTGTCATTTCTTTTTCGAGACAAATATAAGCAAGCAAAAAGGGCATATTAATACCCAACTCAGGTACAGATTAATTTGACTGAAACATTCTTGAATAAGATATTTATTTAATATCAAATTAAATGAATGAACCCTTTTCGTCAAAGATGAGCAACCTTTAATTAATTATAAATATAATTGGTAAGTAAACAATAAAAAAATTATATCAAAAGGCAAAGAATTGGATGTTTTTGGACAACCTTTTTGAAATCTAAGCCACCGACTTCTTTTGAATACACTTAAATAAAGCTTCTTTCCCATCTTCTATCCACCCAATTTATTATGTTTTCCAAGTAAAATCTTTGTCGTCCTTTTTGAAAAGGGAATAGAATAAAAATGACTTTCTATAGGATTGATCTAAAACTAAAAATGCTGAAAATATTCCCTGGTAGTGTATACATGGATCGGTTGGTTCGCTTTTTAACAAAATCAAACCAAACCAACTATATCGGTTTGGATTAGTTCGGTTTTTTCGGATTTTTCAGGTTTTCAGGTTTTTCTTTTTGCATAAATATTATTTCAATCTTACTTTGTTAAAGTTATAGATATAGTTTTGATAAGTGAATATATGTTTAGTAAATATTGAAAAAATTGACAAACATAAAATCTATTAAAATATTCTAATGGGAGAACTTTTTTATTAACACAATGACAGTTATTTTCGTAGTCGCATAACAATAATTTTTCGTTAATAACGCTTTCAAGGTTAACACATGATAGTGTCCCAAATATATCTACATTTTTTTTAAAGAAACTTCAATATAAAGTCTTAAATATATATATNTAATCGGATTTTTTAATCGGTTTAGTTTGATTTTTAAATTTGGTGCGGTTTTCCAGTTCGATTTGAACATCCCTATTCACAAGTATATATGTATTGAAAATTAATCATATGTCCGTAGAAAATACAAAAAACTTCTAATGCTTAGCAAAACTAATCTTTTACAATATTAGTTTTAGAATATTATAAATGAAGCGACATAAAGGGGCGGATCTAGTGTAACGGCTACGGGTTCATGTGAATTCAGTCATTTTTACTTAGACTCTATATTTGTAAGAAAAGTTCATTAAATTATAAAAATATTTAGCTTGGAACCTAATTCTTTGGTCCAATTATCATTGTATATTAACTTAAAATCGTTATAAAAACTCATAAACTTAGCTAGCGTTTGGCCATAGATTCCAAATTTATTTTGAAAAATCTGATTTGGGCGAAATTTGGTCTGAAGATGAAAATGTGTTTGGACATACATTTTCAAAACATATTTTCCAACTTTATTTTGGAAAAACATGTATATAATTTCCAAGTTTTGGGATTTTGGCCCAAAATCAACAATTGGGGTGATTTTGGGATTTGAGATTTGGGATTTTGCCAAAATATAGGCAAAATTTATGGCCAAACATGAGTTTTGAAAATAAATCCCAAATTTATTTTGACAAAACTCACGACCAAACGGGGCCTTAAAATCCTGAATTTGGCTCTTGCGACATGAATAATGAGGACTCGTATCCGACTCTCAACTTAGATGCAATTGAGGTTCACTTGTTATTGTAGTTATTGTTATTGTTGTAATTTCTTATTTAATTTAATAAATAAGTTGCTCTTTTTTTCTAATTATGCTTTTTAGTGCTTTATAAAAGTCTTGTTTTGTCATGTATTTGTTTTTCCTTTAATTTATGATAGTCAAGATTACTCCGTTATCCTTAGTTTTAGCGTGACAATAGAGCCAATTTAGTGCAAAAGACGTCAAAACAAATTTGGTTATATTAAAAAAATTCATAAATCAAATAATAAACGAACAAAGAGAGATATATTAATCATCTTTATGTTCCAACTATTTCCTGAGTTTCCAATAACGGATGATGTATATAAGTTCGTTCATTAGAGAACATCTGATGAAAAAAGAAGATATTACACAAATTTAAAAGTTAATTTCTCATTCTTTTGAGCAAGAAGCACAAGGCAAAGGGAAAAAAAAAACTACTCAAACAATATAGTGGTCACAAATGATTTTTTCATTCCTTAGTATTTTTTTCCAAAGAAGAGTGATTTCATCATTAAGAAAAATGGAACAAGAAGAAGAGACAGCGCTTGGTAACATTTGAATCATGTAGCACTTTTCAGTGAGGTCGTAGTAGGATGGATAAGATCCCTTCACCCTTAATCAGAGGTTTCGGATTTGAGTTATGAGTTTGAATAAAATCCCGACAGAATAGATTTTCGTCATTTAATGGATCTTACGTAATGCAAATTCAAATTATTTGAAGCTTGGATGTGAATATCAAAAATTGCTTAAGAAACCAAAAAAAGAAAAAAAGAATCTTGCACCACTTGAATATTATGTAAAACTATAACCACTAAACTGCATATCAGTTTCAACCACATAAAGTCAGAAAACACGCAAATAAATGTTAAAAATAAATATTTTATTTTCTTCACTATTTTTCTTACGCGGTTGGTATATTCCTTTGCCTTTAGCATATATATNAGAGAATCCCATATTCACATGTCTCATTTGTTTTGGACAACCAATGAGCGTGGGTAAATTTTGAGCAATACTACTACATTGATGTGTCCATAACTTTATTACATAAAATCACTTGAACAATTCCTTGTAACCAAGAATTCACTCAACATTTCCCAAGTATCATAAAAAAGTCTTTCTTGTTTTCTCCTACTAGTTTTATGTGATAAATATGCAAAGTAAGGGTATCTAACGGGTAGGCCGGGCCAGGATGGGTAGGGAAATATTGAAACCATACGAGTTACGAATCGAGCCGGTTATGAGTTAGGAGTTACCGAGCTTAACGGGTTCGGGTTCATCCGGGTAAAAAATGAACCGTAAGGGTTACGGGTACAGGGGATCGGGCCGGGTTAGTGTAATTTTTTTTTGTATTTTGTATAACTATTGTAAGTTATATTAATATAAAGTAAAAATATAAAGAATACAACGAAGATGAGAAAAAGTTGCACTTATAAATTGCAAGTGCTACATTTATTTCAAAATTACAAATTAAAGTTTGCATATAACAAGTAAATTAACGAAAAAAGAGTAAAACTAAATTTTCATGCATAATAATACTTCAAATTAATCTAACAAACTAAAACATTAAGCATAAATACGTCTAATAATTTTAAAATAGCACAAATTGTCTCAAATCAACTTAAATACGAATTTCTGGAGGACGCTCAAGAGAACTTTTCATATGCCTCCTTGAACACCCTGTGCCCAGACACTTTGGACGAAGATTTAAGACTCGACCACAGTTCTTGCACTTTACTTTGTGAACTTCTTCATTTTTTTCTACCACCTCAAAGTGTTCCCAAACATATGAGTGCACTCTAAAAGTACGGGGCATGATTTAACTTGAATTGAGAATTTGAGTTTGAGAAATGAGAGATGAGTGAAGAAATGAAGGGGGAGGAGGGGTGTATTTATAGTTTTTCAAAGGGCTAAATTAGTAATTACAAAAGTGTTAAATTTAAAAAAAAATTGGCCCAAAAAGGGCTAACTGTGCAAAACAGTCGGTGGGCCGACGGTCAGAAAGTAGAAACACTAAAAAAAATAATTGAAAGTAGCCGTTATATCGGTCTGGGCTGGTCCGGGCCGGTTCACCGGTTCTACAGTAAATCGCGTTGACCGGGTTTGACTGGTCTAGTTAACCAGTTGCACGAAGGTGAACGGACCAACTCCCCTTACCCCATTAACCCAACCCACCCAACCCCCTTTGTATTGGTTCGGGCCGGTTCCGGTTTCAACCAGCCTGGGCCGTTCCGGAAACGGGTTGACCCGGCCCGTTAGACATCCTTAATGCAAAGTTGAATGACTTTGGGTGTGTTTGATACAAAGGAATATATTTTTTAGAAATATTTTCTAATTTTCTCATGTTTAATGGGTTGACTTAAATATTTTAAAAAAATACTTTTCTTATAAAACTTAATTCCTCCGATTGGAGAAAATAACTTTCCTATCAAGAGGAGAAAAAATATTTTTCAAAACTCTTTTTAACCCTTCCCCACTCCCACTCCCNCTCGCCCGTTGACCCCGACCAACCACCTTCCCTCCTCCCCTCTCCTTACTCATTTCATCTTCTATAGTGTTTGTCTAAATTTATAATTTTCAAAAAATATTTTCTGCTACCTAATAAAACATAAAAAATAAATAAAAAATTACTTATTTTAAAACAATATATTTTCAAGAAAAATATTTTCCTTCGTACATAACTCACCCTTTACATAACTTTATTCTTCAATTTCTTCATTCATTTGCATATGCCTTTTTGAAGCCCATAAGTCATTTCATTCTTATCGGCCCAATATTTTGAAACACAGACAGGCCCAATTTACAACAAATCCAGCCCAAAACAATATGCAATAAAACCCATAGATCTATGTTACACCAAATTACCCCTCAACTTTTAGATAATAACGACAACACCCCTTATAACCTTTCTCTCTTCCCAACAGCATTTCCCAGTAACATCCTTAAACCCTAGCAAAAATATTCCCCCGAAAACTTACACTTACAATGACACTTCTCACTCGATCACGACCGTTGATCAGAACTTTAACAAACTACAGATCAATCACCACCGTTCCTTTCCTCTCACAAGAACCTCAACTCGCCGGAATTCCGCCGGAAGTCAACACTACCCCATTACCCCCAAACCCATCCTCCGGCAGCCCACTTTACAATGAAAACTGGCGGTCCCCGTTTGCATCCACCGCACCCTCCTCCTCCTCAGTCGTCCCACTATCATTCCTCCGCCAATCACCAGCTGCACGCGTTCAGGCAATTTCACAAACACATGATGTGCAAGGTTTAATGAACCTTTTTGCTGATTGGATGACAACACAGCGGTGGGAGGATATGAAGCAGCTTTTTGAGCTTTGGATTAGATCTTTGGATCGAAATGGGAAGCCCAATAAGCCTGATGCTAATCTATTTAATCATTATTTGAGGGCTAATTTGATGATGGGTGCTACTGCTGATGATTTGTTGGGATTAGCTAGTCAAATGGAGGAATATGGGCTTGTTGCTAATACAGCGTCTCATAATTTGATCTTGAAAGCTATGTATCAATCTGGGGAACCATTGTCTTGGGTTGATAAAGCTGTCAAATTGCTCGAAAGGTTCGTATTTGATATAATTTCGTATCTTTGAATATTTGACTATGATTCAACATAACCATTTACAATTTGAATAGAAGAAAAGGAAAAAAGGTCTGTAAAGTGATGATATGTTTTATTTTAAAATTTGTTACATGTAAAAGTAAAGATCTTTTGGCCGATTTGACATAAACCTAAAATGAAGTTATGATGAGCCACGAAACCAATTGAACCGGATTTAAGCTGTATGTACTAAAGTGTAGTTCTTTACTACTGTTATTGGCATTTGAAGTAGTTGACTTTTGTTGTAGCAGGTTACTTCCCTCATTTTCTGAGTTTAGTATTTACCTTTTAAAAAACAATCTAATATTACAATCCACGCATATAATAACCTCAGTTTATAAAGATTAAACCTTTGTTGCAATTGTGGAGATCCCTTTTTCTTTTTTTAGTGTTCATTTATATTAAATTGCAATCTCAACCTTTGTTATAATTTTCAAAGGTGGAGATTAGGAAGTTGAAATTTTTGGTACCTGTATATTCACAGATGGAAAAGACGTGGAATTTTTGAGTCATGTATATTTACCTAAAGATAATATTTTGCAGAGAACGTCTTTTATAAGTATATTTTGCAGAGAACAATTGTGACCCTTTTAGCTCAGTGATAGGCAGTGTTATCAAAGGCCAAAAACGCAAAAAGCTCTAAGGTTCGTTGAGGCTTTAAGCACAAAGTGCAAATAAAGCACAAACTTTAATGAAGAAAGGTGCAAATGGAGAAAAAACTACAAATGTGTGTGTAGTCCAAGACTAATATTATAAGCATGAAACTAAATATATGGACAAAGAAATTAAAAAAAATTATGATAAAGTGAAATATCAAGTATTTAGTGTTGCCTCTTTAGGATTATTGTTATCAAATGCGAAAAGCACAAAACAGCTCTAAGGTCTGTTGGGGCTTTAAGCGCAAAGCGCAAATAAAGCGTGGGCTTTAATGAAAAAAGACGCAACTGGAGAAAAAATAAAAATATGTATATGTAGTCCAAGACTAATAATTATAAGCATGAATAACAAATATATGGACAAAGAAATTGAAAAAAAAATTACAATAAAGTGAAATTCAAGTGTTTAATGTCACTTGTTTAGGATTACACTCATTAGCGAGGAAAAGTATGCCTTAGAGACTTGATGCGACACTAAAGCGCCCACAAAGCGAGGCGAAGCGCTCAACATGTTTTGAGCCTCACTTAAGGGCTTAAGCGCGCCTTTGATAACACTGTTCATGATTACATTCATTGACAATGAAAAGTATGCCTTAGCGAATTAATGAAAACAATGAAGCATCCGCTAATCAAGGCGAAATGCTCAACATGTTTTGCGCCTCGTTTCTAGGCTTAAGCGATGAAGACAATTGTGACCATATCACGTGTGCCAGGACTATGTTATGGTATTTTTCTTTTAGGTTTTCATGGTAAAGGTATTTGCCTATGGGAGTAGCTTTGTGATCTTATTTTTTGTTCATTGGATGAAGGATAGAGACGTAAGTTAGTCTAGTGCAAAACAATATCTTTATGCAACTGATAAGAGTCATGAGGGTACTCGATAGGGTCTCACACAACAATAAGTCGAGATAAAATACATGTTAACTCTTTTGGTCGATATTTTCACACATGGTGTCAAACATGTGCTACAACATTCTCTCCTTCCATGGAGCGTATGTCTTTATCTCATAGGATGATGTTGTACAAATGATATTCAAACCCCATAGGCATTAGAATTGAGTCCCTTGATCTTCTTAATAAAAATTGTACAAAAGTACGTACAAAAATTGCACGAAACTCGAATTGTTGAAATTTTAGGATTAAATTTGTGATAATTAAACCTTAAAATTTTATAATTCAATTACTTACAAAATAATCTCGGCAAATTCCAAAAAATTCCTAAGGTTTCGTGCAAAAATTATGCAAATTCAAACATGAGATAATGCAATAAAGTTTCAGTATTAACACATAAATAAAAGCTCTAAACATTATATATTGCACAAAAATCATGTAAAGGACTGAGAAAATAAGCCTATGAATCGTATACCAATGAAGGAATTATGTAAAAAACTTGTTTAGGAGACTTACAAGTTCCTTCCGGAGGAAAGATGATCTCTTGCAACCATGACTTGAATTACCCGTCATTGGGAATCCTCAACAAAGCGTATGAGCTTTCTATTTCCATAGCCGAAATGTCCTCTAGATTAAAATAGTATTTTTTTCTCTTCAAAAGCCTAGTCATCTATCTCTTAATGTAAAGAGCATATTTTCCCAGCACCCATAGTGGTGTATTTATAGGCAAATTTTTCAGGCAATTAATTAGGGTTTAGGTGGAAGATTACAATGGCCCAATAGGCTAATTAGCATCCCTTGTGGATGTACTAAGCCTAATAATACTTTTCAATGTTAGGATCAAAGTTCATTTTTTACTAAGGTTAGGATTTGTTAATCCAGTCAATCTTGCTATTAATTCATGTGATATTTTTAGCAATTTTGGTTTGAAACCTTAGGGCTTTTGTTTGTTCCTCTTGTTGGCGTTAGAAAATATTATTGGGCCTAGTTCCCCCATAAGGGATGTTGATTAGCTTATTGGTTATTAGCTAATCCTTCGCCTAAACCATAACTTGCCTATAAATACACCACTATGGATGTTGGAAAATAGGTTTCTTCCATTAAAAGATAGACTAGGGTTTTTGATGAAATACTCTTTGCATCTAAGGGGGTAATTAGGTCGTGAAACCAAGGGATTCATCTGTTTTGTGATGATCCCTAATAACTAGTATTTCAAGTTATATTTGCTAAGGATTTGCTTCTGCCACAAAAAATTTGTAAATTTTTTGACTAGTTTTTTACTTGAAATCCTTCGTTTGTATCATAACCTTAGTTTGTCTTTCGGTTGTTTACATGCTTTATATACAATACATGAATTTTAGGATTTTTATGTGTTGATCTCGAAACTGCATTGCATTATTTCATGTCTTCATTTGCTTAGTTTTTTCATGAAATCTTAGGGTTGCATTGCATTATTTCATGTCTCCATTTGCTTAGTTTTTTCATGAAATCTTAGGGTTATCATAGAGCTCATCGAGATCTTTACAACGATATACAGATCATAGTTTTCGGCCATGTGTTTGTGAGTTATTGAATTTGTAAGATTAGATTTGATCGGATTTTAAGGAAGACAATAAATCTAAATTGATTCTACTTGGGTCGATGCCAGAGCGGTTAGTGAGGACGGACCGTATATTTGGTGGCATTATGTCTACGCTAGTTCAAATCGGGCTAAGCCCAATATTTCGCCAATCCACCATGGGATGATATAACCCTCTTTGTACTTCTAAAATATTCGATCAGGAGGTAAAAAAAAGAATCAAATTTCTGCTAGATCTCGTATTTCCCTAGGGTTGAAATTCAATTGGTCAAACCACCGCCAAAAGAATCTATTCGGGTTGGTTAAGAAAAATATCATCATTTACTTTATCTTATGGATCAATATTTGAACGGTTTTGCTTGAATTTGATGATCCAATTGAATCCTAAAATAAATTTAGTACATAAACTCAGCGTTTTAATTGGAGATATTTGGTCAAAACTTATGAGTTTTGGCCAAAAAATAGCCCTACTCGTCATGAGAAATATTTGATGATTTTGTGAGCAATTAATGCTTGAAATTAATCCTAAAATATGTTTGAGACAAAATTTTGTGTTTTAACTAGATCAAAGTGGCAAAAAATGGAGAAAAATATAAATTGGGTCACGATGGATCCATTTCTAGGCAAATGGGTCGTGTTTGATCCACTGGGCGAAGAAGATGACAAGGCAAGTTGCTCGGCGATGCCCACTCGTGGTTGAGTATTTCATTGTTTTAAAATTATTTTTGGATATTGAAAAATAATTTTCTTGTAACTAATACTATTATGAAATAATGAATTCCGTCGTGATTATTTTCAGCGATATTTTTTCAAAATGAAAAATGAGGAACCTTTCCTAGTTGACGAGAGAAAGAAAGAAAATGAGCCTATTGATTCTGACATATTCCTTTGTTAGTGATTCATATTTCTATCTTAAGGAAGATAACAAAATTTTGAAGAAGCTCTTTTAAGAATGTTTCTCGCATCTTACTCTTTAACTGCAAGCTTAGCAACTGGAAGTTTTCCTCCGTCGGAAAGCATTCCTTCATGGATATGGGAGCTTACTTTGTTGTTGCTAGTTTAGTAAGCTAAGCAAGTCGTGTCCACCGAAAGTTGGTAACCTTTGTCACTGCCAACATTTGGTACTCTCTAGATAGCTTCAATAGTTCATTAAAAGCCGTAAATTAAGTATGATGCAGAGAACATATCTGTTTGTCTCTCTCTCAATGTCTCTCTATATATACGAAAAATAAATATCTTATTTCTTAAGTGAAGTTAGGTATTTATGATGATTTTCTCCTTGATTTGTTCTTAAAAAAATGAAAATTATTTTTTATTCCATTTATGTATATATGTGTGTATATACTGTCTATTTAATTGTGAAACAAAAATATTTGTTGAATACTTCTATTTGGTAACTTGTTTTCAAATCTAATGAGATATTCTATTGATTTATGAAAGCCAAGGTTGGGCCAGATAAGAAACCTAAAATGATGACCAACAAGGCGATAGAAAGTGTGAAAGAAATAAAACTATGACTAAACTGAAATGTTTCAATTGTGATAAAAAGGGTCGCTATGCGATCAAAAGGGTCATTATGCTAGTGATTGCACTAAGCCTAAGAAAGCATCTCACAATGAGTCGAATAAGATAGTTTGTGTTCCTTTAATCTGAATGTTAGCTATCCAGGTTAGCTTTCTCACGTAATCATAAGGATGATTTGAGAATTGACACGCTAGATTTGGTCATATGGGCCCACGGCATATACAAAGGCTAGCAAAAAAAGGTTTACCGGCTAAATTTAACATGTGAATGAGTCCGCTTATTAACATTGTCTAGGTGGAAAAGCTACAGGAAAACCATTTGGAAAAGGCATCAGGAGCGAATTTCCATTGCAATTAATTGATTCTGACATTTGCGGTCCTATGAATGTGAAAGCAAGGCATGGAGCTTCAAATCAAATTGTTTCTTGTTCTTGCCCGTGATGTCTCAGGGATATGTTTCTGGATTTAACTGGTCTTGCGAATTGCAACACATCCAGGCGCCATTGCAAAATCTCTCTCTTCTATATTTTGCCCGCCAAAATATGAAACATTTAAAGTTGCCAGAAGACGAGATGTTACTGCCTCTAAAATGAATTGAGTTAGCTGGTTTCAGTTTCTTTTTAAGTCAAGCTTCTGGTCAAGTGATCACTTTGTTATTTGGGTTTTTTCCCCTTTAATTTCTTGCTTAGAAGTAATGTCTGCCATATGTCTTTGCTCTGCTTTGTCGCTTTTAAGCTTCCTTTCTCTCGGCTTGGTTATTCCTCCATTCTCTTGCTTCTGTCGTTTGTGTTGGATAGTATGTTTACTAAGTGTTAAGGGCAACCTCATGGTGTTTATTGAGCGTGGTCTGATTGCTACAGCACACTGTGTATTTTCACCATGCATGTAAGTACTCTGTCATGCATTAATGCTATTTGATAGATTTCTTGTGTAATACTTATGCCAGGATGATTCAGACTGGAAAAGAGTATAAAGAAGCTTTGCCTGATGATGAGTCATATGACTTGGTTATTGGCTTACTGTTTAAAGCAGACCTTATTGATGATGCCTTGAAATATGTTGATTCAGCCTTGAAATCTGGGTATAAGCTGTCCATGAATGTATTTAATGAGTGTGTGCGAAGCTGTGTCTTCAACAACAGGCTGGATATATTGGTGTCGATAATAGAGAAATGCAAGGTATGTATGCCTTTGTTAAGATAATTCTTACCATGAAGCTTCACCTTTTTTAAAATATAATTTAGTCTCTGATGCCGGTTTTTGGATTTTGCCAGAAAACAGACCAGAACAAAGGCCTATTGCCGCCTTGGAACATGTGCACACACCTTGCTGATGTTGCACTACAGGCAGATAATAGTGAACTAGCTTTTTCTTCCTTGGAGTTCTTTGTGAAATGGGTTGTTAGAGGTGAGAGTGTGAGGCCCCCTGTTTCGCTCTCTGTTGATGAAGGACTGCTTGTGGCTGCACTTGGAACTGCTGGTAGAACCTACAATGCTAAACTCCTTAATGGTGCTTGGGAAGTCCTTAAGCGCTCACTACGACAAATGAGGGCCCCTAACCCTGAATCTTTCCTTGCGAAGATATATGCCCATGCTTCTTTGGGGCAATTGCAGAATGGTTTTGCTACTCTGCATGAGTTTGAAAAAGCTTATGGTAGTTCTAAAGAAGAGAGTGCAGAACTATTTTCTCCGTTTACCACCTTGAATCCACTGTCTGTTGCTTGTTGCAGGAATGGTTTTGTCACTTTGGACTCTGTATGTTCTTGCTCTTCCAGTATACCCTGCCTAATATTGGTTTGCGTCAAGTTTTATTAATCAAGTATTTCAACACGTGTGAAGTAGGTCTGAAAATTTCTGCTACTGATGTTTAAATGTTCATCCTGCTGCATTCTTCATATTTTTTCAGCACTCTCCCCTTTTTCTTAGCTTCTTCTAAGACAAATGCTGAAATTAGGGAATAAATTGATCGTCTAATTCCCAACTAGGAACTTCGTCTAATTCCCAACTAGGAACTTTGCATATCTCACAGCTTAGCATTTTGCTGCACCTGCTTAAGTCAGTCAGATGTTCTCTATATGGCCTTGCACTTTGTATCGCCGCTGACTTCTAGAGATTTCAGGTTTACTATCAGCTGGAGAATTTGAGCCAAGCAGACCCCCCTTACAAGTCTGTTGCTGCCCTCAATTGTGTAATTCTAGGCTGTGCCAATATATGGGATATTGATCGTGCTTATCAGACATTTGCTGCAATTGAATCCTCTTTTGGATTAGTCCCAGATATCCATTCATACAATGCTCTGATATATGCATTTGCGAAACTTGGCAAGGTAAATAGAAATGAATGTAAGATCTGAATGCACAAAGTATAGACCAAGACTTCCGTTTATCTTTTTTCTTTCCTGGCCTAATGACAAAACTTTGTGATGTTAAACCTAGAGGTCATTTACTTGGTCCTATTATTGGTTCATCAGCTAAACATTTGACTGGGAAAAATCTGTGAAGGTCATTATAACAATCAAAAATAATAATCTGTGAAGGTTATTATAACAATCAAAAATAATAATCTGTTAAGGTCATTATAACAATCAAAAATAGTAATCTGTGAAGGTCATTATAACAATCAAAAATAATAATCTGTTAAGGTCATTATAACAATCAAAAATAGTAATCTGTGAAGGTCATTATCCCAAGTTCTGTTATAATAAAACGGGAACTACATTCTTTCATTTGTATGGTGATAGAATCCTCTGCTTTAAGATGTACGAATAATGGGAGTGCACATTTGCATGCGATGTATGATTATATGAATATTGACGAAGTATCTTTTCTTGTTGCAGAGAGATGAAGCAACAAAGGTCTATGAGCACTTCATGGATTTAGGCGTGAAGCCAAATGAAATGACATATTCTCTACTTGTTGATGCTCATCTTATTAAGCGTGAACCAAAAGCTGCAATTTCAGTAGTTGATGAGATGGTAAAAGCTTTCACTCTCCCAGACCCCTGCAATCGTCAGTGAAGAAAATGAGCCCGCTTTTCATTTTGGCTAACAAATTATGCTATTGTTTCATGTGCAGGTGCATGCACAGTATAAACCTTCCAAGGAGATGCTGAAAAAGATCCGAAGGCGATGTACTCGAGAGATGGATTATGAGTCTGATGATCGAGTCGAGGACTTGGCCAAAAAGTTTAACATCCGACTGGGCACAGAGAATCGACGGAACATGCTCTTTGATCTTCAATACAGCACGGAATACGCTGGTTAGATGGTGCTGAGGTGAATCAGAGATTGCATGCATAGTCGACACTGTTTCTCGGCCCTTTGCTGAAGAAACTTGCTGGGATTTGAATGTTGGACTCTTTTTCCTCTTCTTCTAGCTTGCCTCTGGTAGTGGAACACCTGAGTGCTGATGTTGGTGTTTCACAAAGTTTAGTAGTGTTGCATCTCATACGCGTTGGGCGATCCTTTAAGCAGTGGCTGTAAATTATTTAGCTCTGGTTAGGATTAAGCTGTGGAGGATGGTGTCTGCTTAGAAGGTTCTTGTTTTAACATATTTATGCATTCTTTTTCCACCCCTTAGGAAGCGTAAAGACCGGCAATTTTGCTAATGCAATGAGATATCCAGCTCATTGTGAATAAACTGTAGGCACTCTTCATGCTGAAGCAGTTTGCATCAAATACATTTTCTGCTATATTCTATCTGATTTTGATTACCATATTTGGTTTTTTAACTTTTGCAGCTACATTTTTTTTAGATAGTTCTCTTACCATTCTAGCCACAGAAACGGAGAAGTTTTTGTAATACCAGAAGACAGATTTCTCCATTCAATGTGAAAATAGCACGGGCTAGCTAACTTTCGGATTGATAATTAAAAAATAGCCAGCGTTTGCAAAGTTGTTGCAAAAATAATTTTCAACATAATATGCTGGATTATGGAACTCCTATGTATAAACTTCCAACATATTATGTTGGAACTCCGGTATATGGAAAGTTATACCCTAGCTGAAATTCTGAAAGTTCTAGCATAGCATAATATGTTGGATTATGGAAGTCCAACATATTATGTTGGAACTCTAGCACATTATGTTGGAATCTCATATAAAGAATTTGAACTCCGGCATATTATGTTGGATTTTTTCCGGATTTTAAGGGTGTTTATGTTCAAATTTTTTCTTTACATGAAAAATTGGTTGAATTTAGATAACTTTTGAAACCGTGGTTATTTTTCAATTGTTGGTTGTAAATATGGCTATTTTTTATTTTTTCCCCCATTCTACATCAACTTTCTGTCAGTTTTGGCTGTGGTAATGTGCCTATTTCTCTGAACATATGTTTGCATGTGATGTATTTGCGCTATACCTGTTTATCGGACGGGCTGGGACGGGTTGAACTGGAACGGGTTGAACGGAAAAAAAACCAGCTCGTCCGTTTTTGGACCAGGTTGGTTAACGGGCTGGGGGCAGGTTGAACTTTTTTGGGTTATTTAGGGCCCGTCCGGGTTCGGGCTTAACGGGCTACTGTATTTTTTTTATAAAAAATTAAATTTTATTTTTCTTATTCAATGTTATTGATACTTAAGTATTTGCAAACTTTTAAGGCTTAGAATTAAACTTTGAAGTTTAAAGTTTAAAGTTTTAAATTTGAAATTTGTATTTTAAAATTATAAAATTGAAATTAGAAAGTAAGTGGCTACAAAAAATTATTTAATAAGACCAATAGGCAATATGTAAGGAACAAACTCCGAAGACTTTCATTTTATATGTTTAATACTTCAAATTAATTTGCAAGTTCTTTTTTTATTTTTTTATTTTTTGAACTTGCAAATTAAAAGTTTACAACAACTATAAAAAATAAGAAATAGTACATCACATAGTTTGCATTATTTTTGTAAGTTCTTCCATGTCAACATGAGGTTCTAGGTTTCCGGTATTGGTTGAATCGAAACTATAAACCATTATATCTCCAATTTCTTGGTCCTCCTCTTCGTCTACCTCAGCACGCCCTTGATTTCCAAATACAGCCCACAACAATCCTCAATGACAACACAACCTCAAAGAGGTGTTGTTCTTCACTAGAACTAAGTTTTGAAGCACACTAGAATTTCCAAAGCGTTGCTGCCAATGAATGACGGGTATCTCCTAACTGCTGCCTTGCTTGGATAAATGCGCTCTCTGATGCGACTGTTGAAATCGACACATTTAGCACGTCTCGAGCCATGGCCGAAAGAACAAGAAATTGATTTGAGTTTCTCTTCTACCAACCCAGCAGTGAAAATCCTTTGTGAGGGGCTCTGGTGATTTTTGCAAGTAGAATTGGAGTTCATCAATATTCCTGCTACTGGTTTGTTGATGCTCTCCTCGTGTAGACCTAATCAGATATTATCTTAAACACCATCATCATCATCCATAGTTGTTCCAGATGTTGAAGGATTACTTGAAGGAATATTTGCATCTACAACCGAAGAAAAATCAACAATGTTAGCATAATAATTATATAAAGTTTGTAAATGTTTGTTTAGATCAGAAATACATGTGTCAATATCAGGAGTTTCAGTTGGTCCAATATCCATATAAGTATATAAAGCTCTAATTAATTGGCGACACTTTATCATTTTGATAGTAGGGTTTAAAATACCACCAATTAGGTAAATATGAGGAATTGGGTAGAAATTATTTTTAAATTTATCTAGCATAGATTCAACAACAGAAGCATATCCTTCTTTCTTCTTCAAATTATGTAGTAAAAGAGAAATTTCAGCAGTATGAACTAAACCATTTGCAATAGTAGGATAATAAGCTCCAGAAAACTCAAGTGTAACCACATAATTTTTTTGTAAAAATTGTACAACATCATGAATGACATCCCAAGTTCTAGGTTAACAAACGGCTAGGATTAGTACAATGAGAATTAGTGACTTCAGTTATAGGCATTCTATATTTATAACAACATCTTAAGAATAAATAAGTATAATTCCACCTGGTAACTATTTCTTCATGTATGAGTTTTGGTTTTAGTCCATAGTGTACACATTTTTCTTAAATGCATTTAATCTAACACTTCTTTTATTTCCTTGAATTACACCAACAGCTCTCCTAACTAAAGTAATTTCATCTATAAATAATTCAAGGCCACTCTTCACAATCAAGTTATAAATATGACATGCACATCTAACATGAAATATTCCAGGAAGTGGTGGGTGTAGATGCAATTTTAATATTGTAATAGTAGCATTGTTGTTAGAAGCATTATCAAATGACATACACAACTTTTTCTGCAAGATTATAAAATATAGCAACTTCATGGATAGTATTACTTATAAATGACCAGTATGACTTTGGTCTTCATCATATTTAAAAGCAATAATACATTTTTGCATACAAAAATTATCATCTATCCAATGGCATGTAACAGTCAAATAATCATTTTCATTTATAGCACGACCAATATCAGAAGTAAGAGAAACTCTACAAGGAAGACTTGCGAACAAATAACGTATATATGTCTGATATTGTCCAAAAAGCCTAAAGATATCAGCTCTACAAGTACTTCTAGGAATATCTTTAAACATATGGTTATAAATTCTTTGAATATAAGTAACAAGATACGGTGAAGAAGCAAAACTAAAAGCTAAACAACCTAAAACAATCATTTTAGCTAATTCTTCCCGATCTTTCTTAATATCATATTTACCAAATAACCCCCAGTACTCGAGTTAAGTTTTTGTTGCCCAGATTCCTCATCTACTCCCCAATCAAAAGGGTGTTTCTCTTCCATATGCCTATGAAGTTGACCCGTTTCCCCTCCCTTACCGAGCTCATGTTTATAATGTTCATTACAAATTTTACATTTTACATAATTTTTTTGATCTTGTATTCTTTCAAAAAACATCCAACACTTACTTCTTAATCGCCGATTCTTCTTAATAGAGAGATGAGGCCTACTTGTTACACCCCTAATATTTTGAGTTTGACTAGCATTACCGGGTATAGGTGGTGGTGTTTCAAGATTATCAGGTGATTGAATATCATCTAAACCAAAATATTCTTGCATTCGCTCATAATCTACATTTAAATTTTCAGGTGAACTTTCAGAAATATGTGTAAAGCTACTAGAAGAATCAACACCACCTCTTGATCTTTTGGAAGTTTTCTTACTACCACCTTACTAGTTTGTATGAGTCCAACAAACAGTAGAGTATCTGGTCTTCTACAAGATTTTGCTGAGAATGCTAATATAACAGTATGTAAATAAGGCTGAGGAATTTTACCTGGAAAAATCCCACACAACCTGTAGGCTTTTAACTTCACTAAGTCGTAAGAACCTATTACAAGCCACTTTGCAATGACTCCATTACAAAGGATTTACTCAACTAACTTGTGGTACTCTTACCACAAGCCACTTTGTGTCTTCCTAGTTACAAAGGCTTTTACTAACTTGTGATACTCTCACCACAAGCCACTTTGTAACTCTACAATTACAAAGACTTTTGCTTATGACTAAATCTAGTCACAACATAAACTCAAGGAGTTTACGGATTTACAAGAGGATTCCTAATCAAACGCTTCCAGCTAAACAGTTTAGGAGATACAATAAGTACGATCACAAAGTTACAACTCAACTAGGACAACAATAAGCTATCTTTTAGGAACTGGTCCATAGTTACGTTCAACTTTGTTCTTCAAGCTTGTGAGGATTGATTTCTCTGTTTTGGCAAGAAGCTTGAATGAGAAACTGAAACCTTCAAGTGATGTTTTGTATAAACTCATTGTAGGTACATCGTGATCACATCACTTGAAATGATGTGAGCACTTTATTTGGTTAGAGAATGAGTGGGTGTTGGAGACAGTGCAGTGCGGTAGAAACAGTGCCGCCAATCACTTCATTTCCAGCTGTGACCAATTGACTTGTACTGTGATGAGGGAACCATACTGGTATCACATCCTTGTTTGGGTTCCTAGTTCCTGAAGCTGTAGCAGTTAACCTTTAGTTTGGAATTCGTTAAGCTTGCAGTATAGTCCAAGTAGGTCAGGTTCCCTATCTGGTTCTTAACAGTAAGTTTGTTAGATCATCAAAACATAAGGCAAGAATATTTAAAACCTATCACACCTCTACTAGTGCACGCTTTTTTTGGCTGCTCTAAGTAAATCCATTATGTAAATTAAATTAATAATTCTAAATAATAAAATAAATGTACACCAAATAAGAGAAAAAGATGGAACGAGTGTACCAAGATTTCGAGTGTCGCACTAATTTTGATATCAAAAATCAAACTTCAATTGATAGACCGAAACTTGATAATTGATACTTGATAGTACTTGATACCACACTTCACTTGAATACTTGATATTTGATAATAATAATTTTGTAATGGCTAAGCTAAATAATTGATGAAACTTGAAATAATAAATAATTGAGAATTTAAGAACAATAATATCAAGAGAGAATTGAGAGAGAACTAGAGTAGTAAGAGAGTGAATTGTGAGAAAAAATAAAGAAGAAGGGGGATATTTACAGGTTTTAAAAGGTTAAAAAATGTAAATTTTCAATTATTAGGGGTGGGAGGACTATATTTTTAATGGGGGAGCCATTTCTGTAAAATCTGGCCGTTCCTCAACGGTCATTTTTCAATTTGACCGTTGGCTACGGTCCAAATAATTAAATTTTTTTTTTTAACGGTAATCGGGCTGATAACGGGTTGCAGCCCGTTAACGGGTC